GAACATTGGCACCATGAGAGGAAACATAACTCTAGACCCGGGTATATTATATTTAAAAGGATTTTTAAAATTTAATTTTTTTTGAAGTCAGGGTCCTAAGCGGCTGAACTCATATCCCTCCCTGCCTCTGCCTCAATGTTGGATAAAGGGCTTTTTACATAACTCTGTCCTTCCTAAAGCTAAGAACAAGTGTCATTTGTAATATAGTTGGCATTTCACTTTCTTCTAGTGCATGGTCTTTCTCTTGAAGTATTGTAAGTTTCTTCTGGCAGATTAACTTTTATAGATAAATTGTTTAACATAAAGAAGCCTTTGGTTGAGCTGGTCCTGGATCTACATTTTTATTAAAAATTTCAACTCATTTACAAAACACAATCGGTAATCCCTAGCAGTTAATTTAGCCTTTTCTGAATGGGAGCTAAGAAAAAAACAATGCTTTAGCATTTGGAAAGCTCACATACTGGAAAGTTCTGGAAGCTGAACCACAGTCTGTCCCATTCTAACTTTTATCCACTAAAGTTTAAAACCTATAAGGCCTAGGAGCATGTGTTAGTCATGCCTGCATTCCCAGCAACTGGTGCAGTACCTGCCTCATGGTAAGTGCCCAAGGAATATTTTTGAATGAATGAATGGGTCCAAATTCTCCCTTTCGAGGTCCCGTGGAACTACAGTTTCTGCATCCATTTAATACTTTTCATGTATTGGAAGGCTGTTAGCCTGGGTTCCAGAGTGAAGTGTGGGTACTTCCAGCTGTGGCCCTTCCTGGCTGTGTTAACTTTTGAGAACTTCACTACTTTGAGCTTTTAGTTCCTTATAAGGATAATCGCCAACCTTATAGAATAGTGAAGATGAATGGAAGTAATGTGGAGTGGTCCTCATGCAGAGTGCTGCTTTCTCTTCTTTTATCTCATTGGCAGATGGGGAAGAAACATCAGACATAGAATTTTGAAATAAGCATGCAAAAAGATGTTGACAGGCTGTGATAGTCTTAGACCAAGGAAATTGTTTAAAATATCAAAAGAACAAGTATAGGATTCAGACTCAGCTTAGTAGCGATTCATGTGAAAAAGATTCAGGGTATCACTTCGCTGTGATGTGGTTGCCAAAAACCTCATCTTCTCGTAGGCAGCCTTAATGAGTGTGAAACATCAGAGCAGATGAAGTCATAGTCCCACTGTGGTAATAGGAGCTGCTGTTTACTCAGCACTTGCCACGTGGTAGGCATGGAAGTTCCTTACATGCACGATCAAAATCAAGACAGCGGCAAACCTCAGATGGTACGTGTGCTTTCTATTCTTCCTTTTTTTTTTTTCCCCCTGAGATGGGGGTCTCACTGTGTCACCCAGGCTGGCATTGAGCCTCAGGGTTCCGATGACCCACCTTAGCCTCCTGAGGCTGGGACTGCAGGCATGCATGCATGTGCCTGGCTGATTCCTTGCTCTATAAATGAGGAAGCTTGGACACAGAAAGAGTAAGGCACTAAAGTCTTTAGTCAGGAGTTTAATTGGAAACCACAGAAACTGACTTGGATTAGATAAAGCAGTAAAAAAAAATTATTGGTAAGTTCTTAAACGATTCTCCAATTCCATGGAAAGGCAGGTGGCCAGGCCTTTAACACTGGCAGAAATCAAGGGAGGGTGAGCAGCCCCAAACTACAGCCCCACCCAGGCCATGGAGGTCCCCAGTACACCACTCACATTGGCACCAGGTGTCAACAGAACTATTGCTGTTGCTGCCACTCGACACTGTGTGCCACTGCCACCTTAGCATCAGTTCTCTACTGCATCTGATCCTTTTTGTCATTCACTTCTGAGTCATTCCAGGAGTTCCAGGAGTTCCTTCTGCTTACCCAAGCTCAGCTCTTGCTCCATCAAGCCCTGCTGCTCATGTGTGTGGCCCCTGGTGTCTACAGTGGGACATGGGCTCTGTGCAGATTTCTCTGATGCCTGAAGGGAGTTCAGGTGCTAGGCAGCCTAACCCACACACTTCACCACCATAATGAAAACAGAGAGAGGCTCTTCCAGTCTCCTTCAATGTTGCATTCCCAGTGCCTAGAAGAGCACTCAGAAGGCACATAACATGCACATACATATACATGCAGAGTGAGGGAATAAACTCTGCCCTGTCAGCCACATTTGCAGTACTGCGCTCAGCTGTGGACATGTATTCAAGAGCTCTCCAGGGGCTAGAGCTGGCTTGGGAAGGTTGCTGAGTCTGGAAAGTGCTCTGTGCTCAGTTACTGTTCTTCGCTGTTGGTTGTAAAGGAGCAGATGCTGTGGGTAGTAGTAGTCACATGATTTTTCTTCAGGTGGCATTACTACACTTGTGTCCTGACCAGGACTGGCATCCGACCACACATCTGCACTTTGAGTGCAGACTTACTTACTTATGCAGCTGTGTAATCTTAACTAGGTAGCCTGTGATTGATGATAACATTTGGAGTCACACACACCAGCGTTGAAACCCATTATGCTCTGTGCAGCATAGTTGCAAACCTGTTGCTTTGCATTGCTTCATCTGTAACACGGGGATGACACCCTGCAGGATTGCAGGGGATTAGTGATGATGAGGTTAAAATGCCTGGCATGTAGTAATTGTTCAGTAAACAGTACCTTGTTCTCCTTTATGTTAGCTCTTCATTACTGTTGTCAGCTTTCTCCTTAGTGATAGCCTTTATTAGATGAGGAAATGTTTTAATGTTGTAGCAACCAGGTAAATTTCAGAACTTGGCCCCACCCCCCAGAAGGTGACTGTGGAATACAGGCCACTTAACCTTTGTGCCTCCCTTCCTTCCTCTCTAAAATGTGAATAATAAAAAGTAAAGTACCCTTGACTCTTATTTCAGTTCCTGCCACACACTCAGCTTTGTATGTTATGTTTCTTTTTCCCCCACTCAGAAAAAAGGGTAAAGCTGAGAGAGCTTGGAGTAGGACATGTGTGCCACTTGCCAGCTTTGTGACTAGGCACTTATCTATTTATCTGCCTCTCACCTTTGTCCTCGTGAGCTGAGAGGTGCATTCCATGCCGCCAGAAGTCTCTTTGAAATGCCTCGCTCCTCTGGGTCGGGTGTGGTCTCCAGGCAAGATGTGACCTGAGCCGCCCTGCATTGCAGGTTGCTGGAGGAAGAGGCCTCTAAGAGGGCAGAGCTGGAAAGGTGGCACTTGGAGCAGCAGCAGGCCATTCAGATGACCGAGGCGGAGAAGCAGGAGCTGGAGCAGCAGCGTGTGATGAAGGAGCAGGCGCTGCAGGAGGCCATGGCACAGCTGGCACAGCTCGAGCTGGAGCGGAAGCAAGCACTGGAGCAGTATGAGGTGGCTGGCCTTGTCCCTACTCACTACTGCGCTCGGCTTGTACAAGCATTACTCAGCAGGGCCGGGAATATGGCTTGGTGGCAGAATGCTTGCCTAGTGTGTGTGAGGCCTTGGGTTCCATCCCCAGCAGTGCAAAAAAACAAACCAAACCAAACCGTGTTCAGTGACACATTGGCTTAGCTGTCAGCATGAAGCTGTAGTGAGAACCTTGCTTAGTGTAGGGAAGAAGGAAGAATCAGTTCTTACAGGTTGTGAAGTGTGTCAGTCCAGTTAGGAGCCAGGAGCCACACAGTAATGTGAGCAGGGGAAGTTTAGTTTTTGAAATTGTTAACCACTAGAGGACTGCCTGCCAGGCTGAAAAGCCAACTTAAGAGCACATGAATGGCACGTGCAGGCAGCAGCCCCAGTCCAGGCCTGAGGCAGAGCACCAGGGAAGGCCACCCCTGGGAGAGGTCCCTTGTTCCTGGCTTTTCATCCCTAGTGCTGGAATCCAGACTTCCTTGGAGGGGCCCACAGTGGCAGAGAAGTGGCTGAGGTGCTGGGTCAGCAGAAGTCAATGGGCAGCCACCTTCTGGACACTGGCAGTAGCCCCTCAGAAGGTGCCCCTGAAAACCTCGGGGGTGAGTGCCATGGGTGTCCTGAGTGCCAGCTGGGTTTGTGTCTCCTCAGCACCTGCCACTGACAAAGCTAGTGGCACCAGCTAGCGAGAGAGGACTAGTCCAGTAACATGCAGGTCAGTGCAGGACGGGTTTGGAGCTGAGAGGCAGTTCTGTAACCGATACACTGCATATCTGCGAGTATGCTGAAGAGTCGGGTCCGGATCAGAGGGCCTGGGCTTCAGTCCCAGCTGGGGGACCTCAGGCCGGTTACTTAGCCTCTTTGCATGTTGGTTCCTACTGCTGTAGACTGGGGCATTAATAGTCCCTGCTTCTCACAGTGGCTGTGAGCATTTAATGGGATAACCACAAGCTTGTAGTAAGTGTCCAGCTGTTGTTAGTTGTTCTTAAACTGCTGCTTTTGTTCCAGGAAGTTAAAAAGAAGCTGGAGGTGGCAACTAGTACGACCAAGAGCTGGAAGGACAAAGTGGCCCATCATGAGGGACTAATACGATTGATAGAACCAGGTAATAGATTTGTTTTAAAAAGTAATCATATATTTATTTTGAAATTTATTTTCTGTCATAATTATGTATTTAAATTATACTGAAAAAAAAAAAAAAACCAACAACTTTTTTTATCCCAAATATTAGAAAACCTAAGCTGTTCAAAGTACATTTCCCTTGAATAACTTGCCTTCCGGTAGATAAGAGAGTCCAGATAATCCCCTGTGTACATCTTATAGTCCTTTTGGCTGGTATGACTTTTGTGGGCCTTCCTCAAAGAAATAAACAGTTCCTGTTTGTCCACAGAGAGCTGTTGGTACATGTTGGAGATAGAATACTTCCTGCATTTCAAGCGTGTTTGTCTTGTAGGTTCAAAGAACCCTCACCTGATTACTAACTGGGGACCTGCAGCTTTCACCCAGGCAGAGCTGGAGGAGAGAGAGAAGAATTGGAAAGAAAAAAAGACCACGGAGTGACAGCATCCAGCAGAAGTGCCTCAGTCAGAGGCAGAGGTGCCAAGGGAGGCTGGAGAACTGTACACGGAAGACAAAAGAAACTTGCTTTGCTCCTCTTAACTCTTCTCCCCTTAGGGCCTTTGCTGGGGCAGTTTCCTAAGGAGGCCTTATTTACCTTCCTGCAAATAAGGACTTACCTGAAAAGAAAACAAAAAAAAGCCAGTATCTGTCAAGTGCTTTATTTACTCTTTCTTTGGAACCTGCAGCTTCTGAAAGTTACATTTAGCTCAGACTCACCGATTCTTTTCTGAGTGAGACTGACTGCAGACCCGTCAGCTCCAGGGTTTGGAGGGCACTGGGTCTGGGTGCTCAGGCCCCGGGACAATCAGAACCTCTGTGGACTGGGTGTCAGCTCCTCCCTGGGCCAGCTTGTTTCTTCTTCTGAGTGTGGTTTTTTAATAAGATTGGCCAGTGTGCTTGCCGGGTGACATGGAAGGCCTTTGACCATTGTTGCTCTGATGGAGAAGTCACAGAGTCATTGCCATTTCCTGGGTGTCCTTCTAGATGTGTAGTTAGTGGTTGGTGAGGTTGCATCCACTAAGGTCTTTCTTTCCCTAGGGGTCATGCACTTGGCAAGTGTCATTCCTATCTCCTTTGCCCTCATCTCAAAGGAAACATCCCCTTGCCATCCTCTCACCCTCATTCTTTTGGCTCTTCTCTTTCTCTGTCCAGTCCTGAGAGAGCTATGTTGAATAGCAGAGAAGCTAATTAGAAATAAAAATAGTTTTGATAATTTATAAAGCAGGCTGTGCATGTGGATGGACAACGGGAGGTTGCACTGTGCGCTGATGAAGTTTAAAATGCCATCAAGATGAAGTCACTCTGTTAGCCAGGCCGTGATGTGAACTTTCATTAGGTGGACATGTTCTGCTTTCCCGTCCTCCGTGGGTGACATGGAGGAAACGCTCAGTAAAAATAAGGAAATGGAAACTGGGGTCATAGTTCCCAGGCATCGGATTTGAGTGGAGCATCAAGGAAGGTTTTCACATATCTCCTGTTTTTGCACTGAGAGTAGAATTCACAAAATGATGTTTCCAACACTTGTTATAATTTATAAGCAGCAGTAGCTCAATGGACAACGATGGTTCTTAGAATTTAAAGAATATGGGGGTGATTCAGTTGTTACAGGAAATGCAGAACCCAGTAGAACGGCTGCATTCCTTCTCTACATGCATTTAAGTGAGGACAGAGAACCTCATGTGTTCTTCCCCTGGTTCCTGCCTCAAGGTAGACAAGAAGCCATTCCAAAAAGATGTCCACATCTAGAGTGTATGGTTTTAGAGATTTTAGTGTGTGTATTTATTTACATGACAGGAAACTGGAATATAATATAATTCCATAAATCTTCACTTTTTATGACCGGAAAATAGTTGCTAATGAAAGGGTCTTCAGAAAATTGTCATGAAGTTTTTGCTGTTTACAAGTATAACTTTAATAATGTCTTAGGGTTGCCTCATAAAGTTTAGATTTTTATCTAAAATATCTTTGTAGTGTGTGTCTTCCAAATTGAATAGCCAGTTTGGGTGTTGGTTTCTGCCCAGTCACTTATCACTATTGCCATTTTCTTCACTCACCGGAGGAATGGAACCTTTTCTGTGGTTCGATTATGTCTCATACCAGGGGACTCCAGTGTTCCTCATAACAAATGAAGAAAAGATACTTTACAAAGAAGCCAGTGACCTGTGAAATCTGGGTAGAAACAGCATGGCCTTGGGAGTCCAAGAGTCCCTGTGTGGGAAGGATGGTTGTAGAATACGCAGATTTCTGCTTAGGGATATGGAGAAATAGACCTGCAGAGTCCCATTGCAGAATGTCCTTCCTTAACCCTGGCTTTTCCACAAGAAATGGCTGCTCCTGTCGGCCTCACTGTCTGGCCTGGACCACCAGTCTGAAGACCGCCTGCTTTCTGGTCACGTGAACCTCACCTGGACCAAGCAGTAATCCGGGTGGTATGCAGGAGGTGGATGTGACACATGGCACTGCTGACTTAACCCTGGCTTTAGTGGCGTGGCACTGTCTCCAGGAGCGGGAACTCTGCAGACCCTTTGTGGGATGATGTTTGATTAATTGATTTCCTTCTCCTGTTTAAAGTGGTTTCAATTGTCAAGGTCCTTACAGACCCCTTGGTTTTACTTTTGTACTTACTGTACAGAAAATTTCAGGTGTGTTTTGATCTCTGTCATAATCCAGTCCTTTCTATAATAATTAGAAATGGGTTTTTTTTTTTTACATGAATTACGCATGAAAAAGTTTTAAAAGTGTGTTTTTGTGATTTGCTGTATTGAGAAGGAGCAAAATCAATTACAATCATTCTTACCTAAACATTGTACAGTGTAATATGCTCAACTTAATTTTTTGCTAATTTTTCTAAGATGTATTAAAAATGTTTTGTATGTTTTTTTTCTTTTTACTGAAATGGACCCAGTAAGGAAAGTAAAAATACCAGCGCACCATGCATTTTAAACTGGCTTAATAAAACAGTGGGCAGAGCGTGTATGTATGTGTACTTTGATATAATGATAAGGACTTTGGTTAGGGATACTTCCTGAAAGCCCTGGGTTTGGGGTTAAGACCCCAAGAACTAACTGTGGCCTCATCTTTGGTGTTTGAGTCAGGAGTGTGGGAAACCATGGCTGATGTGTCAGCTCACGAACGGGAACTTACAGCACTGATTTCTCCCTTGTCGTTACTGTTACATCCAAATGCTCTTACCTCTCTTTCCTTAAGTTGTCTTTTCTCCTCTTTTAGTTTTTCTTTCACCAGAGTAAACAGTGGGGTTTCTTTGTTTGTTTTTGTTTGGGTTTACATAGTTGCCAAGATTAAAATGCCTATTGTGGACCAAGCAGACTCATCGCATCCAGCTTGTCTGTGTATTGGAGAGCTGATCTTTCTCTTGTAGAGGGAGCCAGGGAGAGAAGGGTTACTGTTGTTGTTTGTAAAAACCATTCTTCTTTTTGTTGCAGTGGCTTTAGTGGGGGCACTTTTGTCCTCCGGGGGCTTTGGCAGTATCTTGAGGCATTAGAAGTTTTCGTAAGTGGAAGGAGTGTTGCTGGCACCTAGTAGGTATGGGTTGGGATGCTGCAAAAACCGTACAATGCCCAGGGCAGCCCCACAACAAAGAATGATCTGGCCTAAAATGTCAGTGATGGTGAGGTTAAGACAACATGCTGTACAAAAAGGCAAGGAAGGCCTGTCACCCACAACACAGGGCTTTTGGAGTCAGGGCTTCCCCTTTAAGGAGTCCCAGGAGTTGATGGGCCTTGTTGGTCTCAGTAGAGCGCACTGGCCGAGAAAGAGCTTGTTAAAGAAAGTGCCGCTCTACAGAAAGACTGGCTCCTATCTAGAACCCAGCAGGTCCTGTGAGTTAGGGCTCCCCTTTAAAGAGTCCACTATGGGCTGAATGTGTCCCCCACAAAGAGCATGTGCTGGAAACTTCATCCCCATTGCCATAGCGTGGGGAAGTCGGCCCTAATAGGTGATCGGGCCTCAAGCACTCTGGCCTCAGGAGTGGTTGATATCGTGAGAGTGGATTCGTTATAAAAGCAAGTTAGGCCTTCAGCGCTGTGGCCTGCAGCCTTCCACCCTGTACAGGGCAGCGGGCAGCCCACAGGAGGTGGCTTCCCAGTCTATGGAACCGTGGGAGGTACATTTCTTTATGAATTACTCAGTCTGTGGTATGGTTTTAGCAGAAAAAGGACTGCGACAGTCCCAGTAGGTGGCTGAAGTGCACAGATGGGGCTCACCTGGAAGGTAGTGTTCAGAGCATTCGAGGTGCTGAGAGCTGGCAGAGGGCAGGAGCTTCGGCACACCTGGTGGGGCTGGCCAGAAACTCAGGCCTTTTCAGTGCAGACGGGAGGGGAATAGCTTTGGATGTGTTTTCAAGGCCGCCTGTCGGTACGGTTGCGGAGGGAGTTTGCCTCCTTCCTGACTTCTTGCCCCGAGTGTGAAGCGGGGCGGGTCTTTCAGCGCCAGGCAGCAGCTGGGGAGGAGTGAGGGTTCACGTTTGCTGCCTAGGTGGTGATGTGTCCCGCACAGCACTCATGCTTGTTCTAACTGGCAGAGTCTTAATTGTACCTGCAAGGTGGTGCCAACCAGTCTCAGCTGCCCAGGTGGATGAGGGCCAGGTGAATAATGTCAGCCTGGGTGGAAGAGGTGCTCACAGCTGCTGCCAGTGTGGACAGGGGCTCAGAGTCAGTCTTGGGGACAGTTTAAGGAGTATCCATTTCTTTTCTCTTTCACAATGGGTTTTATTTTTGTTTACATATTTATTGCCTTGTTATCCCATGCATATATACAGTTACTCGTACCTACCTCACAATGCGAAATTTCAATCATGTCTTGCAATGTTAGTATTCTAGAATCAGGTACAGGCCTGTCACTGTTGCTTGCACTTTCAACCATGTTTTTAAAATAAATGTGCAGAGTAATCCCCTTGATTCAGAGAAACTAGGAAATAATGATACATGGAAAATTTCAACTGAAAATTTGAGTAAGGTAACCGTTTAGTCGTGTGGGCGGGTGCTCATATCTGTGTGTGGTGTGTGTGCATCACCACGAAGCTTCAGAGCAGAGGTGTAGGTCACACACTAAAAGCTTAAAGTTAGCACCACGTTCAGTTCTGAAAGGCTTGTAAGGAGCGCTGGCCCTTTTGCGTAGAGAATAATGTAACAGCCTTGGGTAAGGAGAGTTGAGTGTGGCGCGGTCATGGAGCAGTGTTTTCTTGGCCATCCATTGAGGGCTGGATCATGGAGAGGGGATGTGGTACAGGGTGATGGGGGAGATGCTGTGAGGTGGAATGGTTTCTCTCAGTTGTGCTACTTACTGAGTATCACTTGCTTGGCTCCGTGGGGAAGGGGTGCAAGGGCAGAGCTGATACAGTGCCAACTCCAGCACCAATTCCCTGAAATTTAGCATTGCCCTGCGCCTTTTAAAACTGTCAGCCAAGGGATCTTCCACAATGGTATACTTAACAGCCAAGCAGTGTTCCAAATAAACCAGGAGCAGTTTACTTGCGTCAACAGGGGCTCCTCTTATTCTGTGTCACAGGTATATGAAGTCTACTTCTTTATTTTTACAATGTATAAAACTAAAAATCACCCAACTTTGAAAGTAGCAATAGGTACTAAAATTAAACACAAGCACCCTGTGGCCCCACTGTTCTACCCAAGGGAAATGAGTTTGAGAAGATTCACAATAGCTGTTTAAAATGGCCCCAGATGAGAAACAACCGAAACCACCTCCGGTAGAGAAAAGACAAATGAACTGTGGAGTGTCCAGATAGAGGGCACTAAGGCTAACAGAACACGGGAGACGTGCAACAACATGCAGGAATCTTGGAGACACCCTGTTGAGGGAAAATGACAAACAGAAGAGCAAACTACACAAGTCCAGTTGTGTTACTTTGCAGGACTTGAAACACGTTGTGAGTGGTGGTTACCCAGAGTGGGCAGACGGTGGGAAAGGGGCACAAGTGAACCACTGGGATGGTTATGTCCTTACCCTCAAGTTGTGAGTGTGCTGTTTGAAGCTGTAACGCCTCGCCTCGAGAATGCTGCCCAAGCCTTTCATTCAGCAGAGAAGGGCCTGGTGGGCCAGATCCAGTCTGGAATCCCTGACCCTCAGATGCTGTTTGCTTTGCCAGCTCCCACTTCTCACATCCTTCATCAGGATGCCAAACATTTGATTTCCCAGTGTTTCTATCTCCCATCATTCAGCTAGCCATGGCCATGAGTCACCCCTGGCTGCTAGGGAGGCGCTGACCCCTCTCTAGTCCTGTGCTCGGCTCCCATTGAGCCTCCTGAGGTTGCTGAGTCCTTGGCCCTGGGGAGTGAGTACATTTGTGGTGGGCCCTAAATTCCAGCCCTGAGGCAGTCTCAGCCTCCTTTTCCTGTTTCCACCACACACATGTACTCCGCGCTCTTGTAGGACTGTGCACCCACAGGAATGTGGGCTTCCTCTTTACGCCCACCTTCTCCACAGCAGTCCACGGGCTGGCAGGGCTGTGGGAGAGTCAGGTAGAGCCACAGAGCGACCCCCATTCTGCCCAGCTACCTCCTCCCCATCAGAAGCCCTCTGCCATCCCATTTCACCCTGCCTCTCCTCCTTGGGCAACACTTGCTGGTTTGCCCAGCAGCCTGTGACGGATTTTGAGGGAGCCTCCCTGAGACCCACTTTGCATGTTGTCCACCCTCTGCAGTCCACCAGAGGCTGGTTTCAGGGGGAGCCAGGCCTGCTCACCTGCCCTCCTGCTCTCCTTGGAAGTCTTCCAATGGGACAGTGGGAGGCCAGGGTCACTGTTCCAGGCTGCCAGATGGATTTCTGATCCTGGCTGGAGGGCGTTTGGATCTGAAATCCTTGTTTACAGGGAACACAGACTATCAAAGGTGGTGTTGTGGTGGAGGGCTTCACCCCAGACCGTGTGGCCCACTGCAGTGAGCTGGAAGATGACTACCAGGCAGTGAAGCCTCTTCCGGAGCAGTCAGTGCTTGGGACCCCCCTCTCTGCCACACCCCCCCACACACACACACCTCCATTGGCCTTGGGAACAACGGCTGGGAAGGGGCCTGGGCTTCAGAGCCAAACAGGCCTGGATTCTGTCATATTTACCCTTCACTGTCACCTGAGGTGACTGGACTCTTGACTATACATCCTCAGAAGGGAACTGCACAGGCAGTGTCTTCAGTGTCACAGCAGGAGACACGCAATGGCCATTTGCCCCTCACTGTTGAGTCATACTCCCTGCCCCACCCTGCCCTGGTGTTTTCACTGCATTTTCCTTACAGCATCACGTGGCAAGGGGCTTTCCATCTCAGTCTTGGGGGTTTTTGCTGTGGACTGGCCGGTTCTGAGAAACCCAGCAGGTGGCTGTGGAGGGCTGGTCATGCGGAGACCAGGCTGGAGAGCTAGGGGAACACCTCGGGTGCCCACCGTCTTTTCCGCAGGCAGGGCTGCAGCTCCTGACACCTCAGGAGTCCTGCAGAGGTGGAGGCCAGGAAGGTGTCTGAACAAAGGAGTGAGCAAACAAGGTCCCAGGATGGGCCCAGAGATGCCCTGTTCCCCTGTCACACTGCTTTCTGGAAGGCTTGGGGAGTGGATCTCACCCACCTTCCAGGTGACCCCCTCGAAGAATCCAGGCCTCTGCTCCTTCTCAAGAGAGCCTATGACTTCCTGGTGGCCACTGCAGCT